GAGCACCGTGACACGTGTCAACGCGTCGTTCCAGAGGTCCCTCTTTTGCACCGGCCAAGACTTCTTGCCCGGTCTCTCTTGCCTCACTGGCAGATGACAGGACAACCTACATCGATCCTCAACGCGAGCCAGGCGGTCTCGTCGTCAGCGCATCGAGCAGGAGACGGCGAACCACAGCATTTGAGGTTTTTGCCATGTGAACGGACGGGCAGACCCACCTTCCTTGTCAATGAGGCCCCCGCGTCTTTCGCAATTCCCACGGACGAGGCACAACGAGCGAAGGCGCGCAAGAGAAAAGGCCATGTGCCAGCCGAACGCCACAAGAACGTAGAAGACGTCTGCGACGACGTCGGCGTCGACCTCTCTGGCCTTGGTACGGAGGAGCAGCTTATACTGCTGTTCCAGGACACTACGAACGAACGCGCCAGCGAGCTGCCATGCGGTCAGCATCAGGCGAAATCATGCGCAGCGGGGGCCATCGTTGGTCTGCTTGCCGCGTTGCCAGTGTCCACCTTCCAATTCGCAGACGTCGCGCGTGCCTGGCTACGACCCGCGCCTTCGGGCCCGGCGCGGCCCTATGTGAGCCGCGCGGGGGCGAAACCCGCGCCTCGCAGATCGCCGTCCGACGACAACTCGCGACAGGCGACAGCTTCGACCTGGCTGCTGGCCGTTACTTAGGCGATTCCGCCGTCCAACGGCGCGCCCTGCAGTGCCTCGAGTCCAGTGTAGCGGTCGTGATAATGGCGCGTCTTGTCGCAGTACTGGGCCGCCTAGTGGTCTCAACTGCCGCATCAACCGCGAGACCTGGCGGACGCGCCACGAGGGAGATGCGCCGCGCATTTCCTTCTGAGGACAAATTGCGTTGGCACAGAAACAGGAGGGGCGATGCTTCTTTGTCGAACGAACGATCCCTATTTGGCTCAGTGGTGCGCCGCCGTTGGAACAGGTATCTGCGCATCCACATGTGGAATCGGTTGTGTTCGGCCAGTGCTGCGTGGGAGCCACGGGTCCACGCGGCCTCCCAGTCCAGAAGCCGTCCGTGGCTATCGCCTGCTCGCAACACCTGCTGGCGCCCTTCAGGAATCTGAGGTGCAGCGGCAACCGTCACCACGACGTCAATTGGGGTCGCAGCTAGCGCGCCGCGATGCTCCAGGTCTGGCCATGGCGCTTATCCGAGCGTGTGATGCAAGGCATCGTCGCAACTCGAAGCCGCGGTGGAAGGCTCCCTTGCTCTGATGGCCGAGCTCTACCCGGCCACAGGGGCCCACCTCTGCCCGGGTGCTCTCCAAGAGATTGAACGCCTGGGAGGAGCCGACGCGCCGTCAGCACCGACGCCGGCACCAGCAGCCATGCCAGCGCCGGCAGGACATTGCGAGCCTGGCCGAAGGCGTCTGGAGCCCTAACGCGCGCCTCAGGCACGCAGACCTCAGCCGTCACACCAGCTGCCAAGCAGGTGCCGTCACACCAGCCGTCACGCCAACGCGCCAAATTCTAAGCGGTGCCCAGACTGTCCTGGCTGCCGCGGGAATCGCAGCAGCCTAGGCCCACGTCGGGTGCATGTTGCAGCGCGGCGGGTCAGGAAGGAGCATGTTGACAGGGGTCCTGCTACCGCAATGCTCAGCAATCGCTGAGGCGCGCGCGTGGGTCCGCATGTGCACAGACGTACGGGGCGAGGGAGTAGTCATGATTTTCGGGGATGAGTTCATGATCCCGCTGCCATGTTTATAAGAAGCAGACTTGTGCGCCGCCCGGCCGGGGCGCGCTGGGCCACCGTTTGCGGCTCGCGCGACGACGGGCGCGCGCGCGGGCGCCCGACGCACGTCGCCGCGCGCTTGCGGCCACCCGCTGCCGCGCGCGCACGTGCCGGCGTGCCTCGAAATTCGGCGCTGGAGCCTCCTGGACCGCCGCCGGTCGTCGCCCGCGGATCATGCCCTCTGCGTCGCTGTCACCGGCGGAGGAAGTGCCGTCGTCAGATGACGGAGCGCTCGCAACCTGCGCGGGTCGAGCCGAACCACGTAGTCGATCGATCTCCGAAGCCCCCTCCTGGCACATGGTCAATGTTTGGCAACCCAAGGCGAAGCCGGTCATTATTCGTCCTTATGGCATGCCTCCGATGATGCTTCTTCCAAGCCAGGAGCGAGCGCGTCAGTTGTGGCGCCAGTTGCAGCAGTCCATGGGGCGCGGCCAGCGTATCACCTCAACCTCGCCTGCCGCTCGAGGTCACGTTCGGGCTCAGGAGGCTCCTCGGTCCCGCTCTCGCCTGCCGTCTCCCCGCAGGCGCCGGGCTGCTTCTGCGACCTACGTCTGGATTGTGCCGACCAGCAAAGCCTCCGCGCCGACTCCGCCAAGCGCTCCGCCACCCCCTGACATGCCGGCCTCTGCGCTCGCGGGAGATGCGCGGCTCCTTGCGTTCAGTAAGAGCGACGCCAGAGTGGTGGAGTTCATCGAGAAGTGGCGCGTCAGCGACCTGGTCGCCGAGTTGCCGATGCGTAAGAGTCTGTGCGCAGTGCAGGTCATGGAGCCAGAGTTGCGCGCAGGGTTAACCTGCGAGGCTCGCAGGGCCGTGGGGCCGTTGTGCGACAACGAGCCGCCCGATATTGGCGCGGTCATGTACGCCGCCAAGCTATGCGCCGCATGGGCCTCGTGGCCCGCGCGACATAGGGCTGGGCGCCGCAGCTGCTGGGCGCTCGCCAATGTCGGTCGTGGCCGGGGTTCGGGCGAGATTTCTCTTGGCCCCCGGCGAGTCAGCCCCTGGTGCGCCTTCTTCCAAGAGCGGCGCGCTCGGCTTCGAGAGGCTGGCTCCGCCGACGCCGCGGCCGTCGCGCTTCTCATCGCCTCGGGGAGAGCGCGTGCCGCGCACTCCTGCTCGTCGGCAGTTCTCACCGGAGATTCCGCGCAGGTTCGCATCTCTGCCCCAGGTCCACGAGGCGGAGTTCGACGAGGGCAGCGCTGTTCGCGGTCGAGCTGGGGGCCGACGCTGCCCCGCCCGTCGGCGCCGCGCCCATTCTGGGCGAGGGCGGGGGCCATGGCGCCCATCGGCTCTTGCGGGCACGCCGCCATTCGTCGAACTGTGGCGAGGGCAAGAGCAAGGACAATGGTGGGAGCAATAACGAGCCCGCGCCAGAGACCGATGCCGACCTGCCCAACAGGAGCAAAACGCGCGGGGCAGGAAATAAGGTCAAACGCCAGCGCGCCACGACGGCCCTCCGCGCGGCTGCCGCTGGCCAGCCAGGCCAGCCCTCGCCCGTGGGCAGTGCCGGGGCCGAGGTGGCAGAGGCCCCTGGCGCGCCCAGCGAGGACGTGGCCTTCGGTCGTGGACGGAGGGGCTCCCGCAATTCGTGTTCGCGGTGGGCATCGAGGCGATCGTGCCAGAAAATGTGCGCCTCCCTCGCGGTCTATCTCCATCCATCAGCCTCCCCCACCTACCATGTCAAGGCGTCTGCGCGCCTCAACCTCGCCCTCCGCGTGACCCCGTGGCCATCGCATTATTTAAGTCTGAGGACAGGCTCTCAGACATCACGTATGCGGCTCGAGGTCGCCAACATGCGCAGAAACGGCCTTGGAGAACGCGCGCCACCACCGCTCGTGCGCGTGAGCTCCTCCAGTGCCGCTTCGAAAGCACGAACAAGCTACCCGCTAAAGCGGACGAGCCCGCGCCCCGCCGCGTCGCGCGCCCCCGGTTCAGACGACGGCGCTAGGGTTGGACAGTTCTGGTTCTGTCCTTCCTTTGTTTTTCTTCTCCGCCAGAGCTGTTCGATCGCCCGCGCAATCCAGGCTCAAATCGGATGCTCTGCCGCCGTTTGGCTCAATCGCCGGCGCGTGCGTGTATACCGTGCGGAAAACTTACGCATTGTAGCCATCACCTTATTGCCGCCATTTTGTCGTACAGCTTCCACCCCCCGCAATTCTAGTTCGTCGTCCTCATCCCCCACCTCCTTCTCTTTCTCCTGGCCACACCTCCTTGTCTGCATCGTTTTCCTTATTGCGTCCCCAGGCCGCACTCGCACTCGCAGGACAACCCTTTGGCTTCGCACGGCGTAACAGGTCAAAGAAATCCTCGCGCCAAACGGCTGTCGAGGGCGAAGCCGACACCGATCCCCATTTGGTGGCCCGCGAGGAGGCTCTGAACAAGGCCACCCTGGGACCGCTCGAGGTCCAGTCCTCGCGCCAACAAGGCGGCAACGGCGGTGAGGCGGACTGGCTGCGCAGGGACCTCAACCAGAGTTATCGGGGCTCGACCTGGAAGACTCCAGCGTGGAGCGTGCTCTGGGCCGCTTGGCAAGGCTGTGCGCAGCCTCCAGCGCGGGCTAGATGTCCTCGCCAGCCCAGCGAGTTCGGCGAGTGCTGCCAACCGCCAAGTGCATCCCTCTCCTCGGCTGCAGGAGCTCGTTTGGAACTGCGAGAGCAAAGCTGACGCAGAGGTCCTTCTGGTAATGGTGTGAACGTATTGACCTCTGCCTGAATTTATTCCATCACGTTTTCGCTGAATGCGTCAGGTTTGCAGCGCCGCAAGGGCGATGCAGGCTGCTGGCGAACTTTAATTGACGAAGCGAGGATCGTTTTATAGGGTTCCTCCTCCACCTCTTCATCTCTTCATCTCCCGTCTCCTCCTCCAGCCTCACCCCTCCTGTCTCCCTTGGTCGTTGTTGTCGTCTCTTCCGCCTTCTCGTGCTACTCATAAGCCTCGAGGCTTGGCATCGCTCGGACGTGTGCATTTTTCCGGCGAGGGCCATCGAGGAACATATGAGGTCATCTTGCGAAAACAACACGCGCGAAACCGAATAATGAACGGGGTATAGATGTCCGAGCAATGGCGAGGAGGAAGAGGAACATAGGAGGATGAGGAGGAGGAGGAGGAAGAGGAGGAGGAGGAGGAGGAGGAGGAGGAGGGCGAGGAGGAGGAGGAGGAGGAGCAGGAGGAGCAGGAGGAGGATGTGTATGACGAAGGGGAGGGAGGCGCGGATGGGGGAGGGGGACGTGGACGAGGAGGCGGAGGAAAGGGCAATTTCTGGCCCCCGTCCGGGGCTCCGCGGACGTTGGCGGCATCCAGGTCTCCAGCGGCTACTACAGCCACCCAGGCATGACGGCCGAGAG